GCATATTTTCTGTATTTTTTAAAAATTTTTATGTATTTTCTAAATAATTTAGTATAAACGATTTTATCAGCCTATATTGTTTTACATCATTTTAGTAGAGATTCGATTAATTGTTTTTGTAAACCCATAATTCTTTTTACTGGGGTACTTTACTGAATATGTAAGGATGCTTTTTTGTAGTAAAATGAGTTATATCTAAAAAAAAAACAGATTATTTTCAATATTAATTAGTGGTACATTTTTTAAAAGTTTACAATATGCTGATTGCATGTCACTGACTTCAACAACCTATATCTTTGCAGAGAGCCATTTAGATACAAAGGTTTATTTGACCAATTACGTTTTTTTGACGAGGAATTTCATTTAATTTTTTTACATTTAATTATGTCTCCACATGTCAAGAATACCCACAGATAAAATTGAAAGAAGAGAGAATTTAGTGTAAAGTCTTTCCGATATCAATTGAAGAACCAACATATTGATAGTATGTACCAGGTTTGGTCGCTGACGCACCAACTCAGCATTGAAATATTTGAAAAACTTGTTTCCATATTTATTTACCCATATCCATATATAGGTCTGGTCGAACTAAACGTGCAGGTGGTAGAAATGTATACAACCAGTTGAAGAATGCGAGCGCAGACAAAGGAAAACGATCACCGTTGCAATGGACTACTGAGCAATAAATCACAGCAGATGACAAGTGGTTGAAAAATTGCCCAACAGTGCAGTGCAGCAATGCGAAATTTGGTGTGATTCAGGTAATTTTAATTTTTTATATTCACCTTCTATCAATCATTCATACTACAATTGCGAAAGGGAGAAATAAGAAGGGTGTTTTGTTTACTAATATTATCACAACATGGTATTTTGGAGACCTTTTGAAACGGAACAAAACGTTTACCACCAATATAATAAAATTGTTTGGCCAAATGAACATATAATAGAAATTTTCTGCACATTATATACAAGTTATTATAATTTTTTACCTTTAGCAGAAAATATTTTTAGGGACGCCTATGAAACTCATTAAATTTTATTACCAGGCGTTTTTTTGCATATTCAACTGACTTCGGAAAGACTATAACGTTTTTGTTAAAAAATTCTGCTTGTATTCAAATAGAACAGGGCCATTAACATAACATTCCATCCCCCTTATCTTTTTACTTATAACTTAGCCAAAAATATTAACGAACAAAACGAAAGGAAATTTTCTTGTAATATCAAAAAAAATATATATAGAAAAACAATTGAATGTTGTATTTAGGAGACATAAACCAAACTCTTGTTTTTTTTAAGAGAACATTCGTTTCTTTGGATTCCTCTTTTTTATGATTACAATGATATACAGATATCGTATATTCATATTCGGTTTGATATTTTGTACATTATTTAGGTTTATTTAATGACACTCCACAATGAATAAAATAAACATTGTCATGAAACTACTGCATATTTTTGTTTTTCCATTATTATTAAATTTACTGAACTGGTATTGAAATCTTTTATTAAGAAAATAATGCTTAACGATAAAAGTTGTTTAATAATAACACCGTCGAGTTCCAGAAAAAAGACGTTTTTTATAAATAAACTTCCGTTATGAAGGAATAATTTTATGATCCGGAAGAAGTTATAATTTGACGTCCATGTAATTCCTTTTGAGGTAGGTATTCTGAAAGGTAAAATAAACAAAGAACGATCTAATAATTTATATGATCTAACCCAAGGAAAAAAAATATATATACCTCCGAAATACATCATTTAATTGTTTGTTTATATGTTTCTTTGAGATCGCAAGAAAATCCCCTAAAAACACTCTTCAATTCTTTGCTATATAGAAAGACAAAAAAGAATAGGGGTAGAAGTATGTGTACCCCTGTACAAAAATGCAGTTTTGAGTGTGTTTTATGATACGATCAGGACTGAACTTAAGGTTGTATACAAAAAATTAGTTTAATTGACATATTTCAACCAAGGATCTGTGGCAGTGTACATGGAGTATTTGAACACCTTGTATAGGAACACGAACTTTAAAACACATTGGAATAATATAATATAGTGAAATTTAGCATTTAAAATTCTACTAATTCAAAAAAATGTTTTTTCCATCTTAAAAATTAAGGAAAATCTATCTTTTTACTAAAAATAGTTGTAGAAAATTCTTTACTAATAGTAAATCAAAATAAAACTAAGAACGGAAAAATGCTGCTTCTTTATTTTTTACATTTTCAATTTTTTTCCAAAAGTAACTTACAGTACATGGATTACTATGCAATATACAAAAAAATGACTAGAATTTTGCAGTACAATAAATAAATAAATATATAAAAAATGACTAGAAAATGAGTACAAAGTAAAAGTATAATATAAACTAGTATAAAAAAAAACTTAAGGCTAAGGATGGTTCGTTTAAGGAATAGAACAAAGGCAGTGCGCGTTTCAATTATTGCTACATCAGTGCAACCAACTTACAAGTAAACATTATAATTGTTTGAAAGCAAACAATTTTTCTTTGAAAAATTAAATTTAACTATCATTATCTGGTACATAAGAGTACATGCTTTATATCCGAATTTATATTAATTACAAGAATCCTTTAATCAGGCGACCTTAAAATACTGACTAGAATATTTTTCCATCTTAAAAAAGTACCCCTAATTATTGAAAAAAGTCTTAATGAGACAAGAAGAGGCTTCGTCACAACTTTTAAAAATCCCCTGATTACCCCCAGACATACCGACTCGCTACCCACTTATCAAAGGCTCGTAAGCCAATTAGCACCATTTTAATAATAGAAAAGCGGGGGACATTTTTTTCTTTGATGCGTTCAGCTGAAGCAAATAAAACCACGAAACAACTTCTTTTGAATGGTAAAATTAGAAAGTTTTGAAACAAACGAGTTTTCAGATTAAGTTACTTGATGGTATTAATTCGAGTTCCTATTTTTAGAATAGTATTGTAGTGTGAAGTTTACTTCTGTTATTTGTTCACTTACAGTGCAAGATATGATCTTGCATCACAGTAGATACAGCCCGTGCGATATTTGTTGAGATATTCCAAGAATACTCCTGCGTTAGTTTCTTGGAATTAACTGCATTCGACACTCGAGGTAGAAAGACGTTGGCGGAAAATTTCAAGGCACGCCTCTGTCGTGGTAAATTGTTACAGTAGTTCCCATAACAGAACTTTATTGGCTTATTCTTTTATTCTATTTCGACAAATATCGTAAAGTCACATAGAACGCAAAATATTTAATTGGACCAGCAAGGGTTAGCACCACATATATTTTCTTTTAATCCTAATTCTAATAATTAAAGTGGTTGGCAATTCGTACTAGATTTACTATACATATAAGCATAATAGCAAGGTAACAGAATTTAAAAAAAGATTCTAACATCTGAGAAAAATACATTTTAGTAGATAAGTATGACTTAGTTTTGCAATCATATTTTCTTTGAGTTTAAATATAAATGAAATGTAATTCTAGTCCCAATTTTGTCCCTTGAGGTGCCCTGTGTCGAAGTTTATACATTCTCATAATTTTCTAAATGTTGTTGTTGCTGATAGTCCAGTCGACAGAGTCCGAAAAGTTACTTGCTTGATAACTAGGAAATAACTGCACAGGAATACTTTAAATGATGAATACAGTAACAGGCTAATTTGCTGACAAAATATTTTATCAGGAAAAAAAGTTATTAACAATTTTATCGTGAAAAAAATTTTTTTTTAGTAGTTTTCTTGAAATAACTCAGCGGGATGACTTTGTACGAAAAAATGCTTAGGACATGATTTTGTTCGTAATAAAAATAGCTATTAAATGGCGGTGGTCCGATTACGAAATTTGCAATAACAAAGCTGTGGGATTGAAAAATGGTATAAAACGTCAATTTTTTAAAGTTGCTGTAAAAATGTCAATTATAAACAAAATGTGATAAAACTTTCGAGAACTATAGTTCAATATATATAGCATTTTTTCGTGTAAAGTCATCCCGCTGAGTTATTTAAAGAAAACTACTAAAAAAATTTTTTTCACGATTAAATTGTTAATAACTTTTTTCCTGATAAAATACTTTGTCAGCAAATTAGCCTGTTATTGTACTCATCATTTAAAGTAGGCCTGTGTGGTTATTTCCGGGTTATCAAGGTTTGACACAGGCCGAACCTCTACCAACTGGACTATAAATAATCAATTTAATTTTGATAACAATTTTTAATTTGTAGCTTGACAAAACTCATCAAGTGTATGTAGTCTGTATTCAGTGATCAAAATAATGTTAATACCAAAGAAGAATATTGATATTATGAAATTTACGAAATTAATGCTTTTTCCAAAGAAAAAATACGTACAATATAAAGCAAAGAAGTCCAGAATGTTTAGTAGACGAGAAGTAAACAAATTTTAAACAAAATCATTATGCTTGCCATAATTGTTTTTTTCTCTGTGGTATAAAAATATCAGCTGTTTCATTAGAACCATTCAAACTAAGTTTGCTAATTAAAATAACCATTATAATGGTAAAGTTACAAAATTTAAAGATAACTTTCTACTAACTGAGGAAGAATATTTTTAGTAGGTAAGTAATATCTAGATTTGTATCTCCTTCTTTTCTTTGAGTTTAAATATAAATTAATAGTAATACTAGCCCTAAATTTGATCCCTGAGGTGCACTGTGTTGGAGTTTGTGATGTAATGTTTCTAAATATTACTTAGTAAACATTAATAACATTAAATTTTGATAAGTTTTTAGTTCCTGTTAGGAAGAAATAATATGCTTCTACATCAACAGTTTTTGAAAACTGTACATTCTAGGACATTAATCCTAAATCAAAATTTTCATAACACATCTCGATAAATGTTTTCACTTATTTTGTGGTATAAAAAGATTAATGTCAGCACCTGATTCGTCAATTGCCCTTGACTGGTATAGGGTGAATTACCCATCCATTTTTTTGGTTGACAAATTTTTAACATTTTGCAGATCACCCTGTATATTCCAAAATCAGTCTCGATCCCTCAGCAACCTCTCAGCGATCCCCTTCACCATGGGATGGTCTGGGGTCAGCCCGTGGTCCGATAAGAACCTCAGGGTTTCCAAGGCGCAAGCTGTGTACCCCGCAGCTTCGGGATCTCGCATGTTCTCTTCGTTCTCCAGGTCGGCCTGCAGCTCGCATATCTTCTGGAGGCAGAGTTTCAGCATCTCCGTGACTCGGTCTGATTCTCGAGCCTGTGGAAAAAAATTACAGGAAGTAAACGATCTCATTTGGCAACGGAAATGTTGGATGAACTGGTAAGTCCCATTAAGCCCGAAACCACGCCAATAAATATATTAACTAATTTGTTAAAAAATTAGAAGTACAGTGTGTTAATATTAAATTCCTTTTCTATGATGCTAAGGTGACACGGTATGATAGCTATGTTCGCGATATGTAGCTATGTTCGCAGTATGATAGCTATATTCGCACTATGGTAGCTATGTTCGCGGTATTATAGCTATGCTCGCAATATATAGCTATGTTCACGGTATGACAGCTATATTCGCAATATGATAGCTACATTCGCAACATGGTAACAATGTTCGCGATATATAGCTATGTTCACGGTATGATAGTTGTGTTCGCGATATTCAGATATGTTCGCGATATAATAGCTATATTCGCAGTATGGTAGCTACGTTCGCGGTATGGTAGCTATGTTCGTGGTATGATAGCTACGTTCGCAATGCGTATTAAAAATATCTACCATTGTTTAATACTAAACCTATAAACGTACTTTGGTTGCTAAAAAATCCAGTCGTGGAGGAAGGTGCAGGAGATAAAGAAATTAATTTTTCGGTTTGTAGCTTACATTACTTAAAAATGATTGAGATAATAAAAAAAGAGAGATAAAAGGAGATCATATATTTCTATAATATACAGCTTACAGCATTTATTGTTTTCAATATCCATAGCTAACACATTTTTAAGGTATATAGCTATCATATATATTATATTATATCCAATGGTGGTCGATTTTAATACACATAACGAACATAGCAAAAACAAACAACATAGTGTTTTATACTGTCATATTTTGGCTACTTGGGGCATGTATAGCGAATTTAACGAACATAGCTATATTTTCCATAGTTTCTCTATAATTTTAAAATGTACATTGAATTTGTACAGCGAACATAGCCAATCTGTGTGCTGTTATATTTTTGGAACTTGGAACTTGCATAGCGAACTTAACGAACGTAGCTAACATCGTAGCTATTCTTAATACACATAGCTAGCAAACGTTCTGTGTGGCCTTAACATAAAAGAATGTCGTTTTTAAGTGCTTATAGTTATAGGGAACGTTTTGTAGTCCTATCACTAAATCTAAAACAAGTACTATTTTTCGACATACCGAACTTTTAAAGCAAAATTAGTTTTGAAACTTCACCCCCTATCATCTCTGGAGAATATTCAACAGGAGGGGAATAAAATCATAACACAAGCCGAAATATGCACGCGAAATTAGTCCAACACGTTTTAATTTGGATTTCATTAAAATTCATATTAATTCACTGACAAACTTGGATGATGTATGACCTATTGACTGGTTGTAAGCCCTAATTTAATTCTAACTTCCCCCCTCGCAAACATATTTAATGATATGGGTACGAACAAAAAGTTTGTAAATTTCATTAAAAATTAATGACTGTTTTTCAATTTAAAGTTCATTGTTCAGGATCGGATTCTAAATATATTTGTTTCCAATTTAGATGTTTGTGATATATTGCAAAAAAAAGGAACTTCTTGTAAAAAAAATACAAAACCAAATAGGTATAGCTCTTTATATACTTTCCTCTTTAATTTTCTTTCAATAAGTTTTATAAGCACAGACTAATTACTAGTAAAAATACATACCCTGTGGTGTCTAGTCCTTTTATTATCCTGTTTCTTAGGCCTGTCATTCGCTTTAGGAATCTTCATTTTGCAAAGTACCAATAATTAATCAAAATTTTTTAAAACACTATTAGGAACACAACAGTAATTATCAGACTTGTTTCACAAAATTTAGTATCACGATCACTTGTCTAGGACGAAACTAGTTGAACAAACAAAATCCAAACAAATCCTTCACTCTTGATGTAATAACAATAAACTTTCCATTTCCATCATATCGAAGGAGAAAATTTTACTTTTTGAAGTAGTTAGTAGCCGAAACTATCCTATCACTTGTCACTATCTACACTAAAAATTGAAGAGCCAATTCACATTTTTCCACTACTGTTGGATTTAGCACGTGAACGACACCTTCCTCGTCTGCGGTATCTCCGATCTCCAAGCAATCACCTATTTGATCATCTAACCGCACGCGCTTTTGCTGCAAAAGGTAAATCCATCTGATTCCATGCACTAGAGTGAATCACGAAGGCACCGTTTCTACATCGAGAACACCGTCGCGTAACCTAGTCCTTTCTTTGTCTCCTGGGGTTCCAATCATGCGTGTGAAGGGAGCGGATGAGAGAAATGCGTTACACATGTCGTGTCTTGTCCACAATCCACGTGAAGCGCCATGGGAGAGTTTGTGGATGCCAATTGGAGGTGGTGGAGGCAGATGTGTGCCGCTCGGTAGGCAGAGGTCTAGCCGCAGCTGTCGTGGGACAGATGTATAAATGCATGCTGGTGGTGATGACTTCGATGGTACGTAATTTTACGTAAATTTTATCAGCTTGAAAGCATAGCTTGTATATACTTGTAAGGGACTTATTTTTTTAATATGATTCCATGGAAGGATAAATGTCTGTAATTGTGACATAAAAAATAGCTTCAGAAATATTGAAAATTGACTTGATTTGGTTTTACACAATTTATATACCGTGGATTTTCATTTGGCAAAGTTTAAACTTTATTTAATCACATATCAGGCGTGTCTCAGGATTCCATACCTGGCCCCATATTATTTATCCTTTCCATTAAAGATATCGCGAATAATTTTAATATCCGCAAATGCTCAGCGAATTTTGTGACAATAAACGACAAGTTTTAAACGTTTCTAAATGTAATGCCATGTCTTTTTCCCGTATAATTGATTATTTTCTCTCTCTGTTCTGTTAAATGAACATTTTCTGCACATATTGCTGAATAAGTAGTTGGGCTTATAAAAAATTGGATTTTATGTTGCGTAATCATAAATAGTTGCACTGTAGGTACGTACCTAACCTTATATAATTCAACTTTAGTTAGCACCAAGCTGAAGTATGCTTCTGTAGTTTGGTCTTGTTCCTTATTCTAATATAATATAGTTGCAACATCATTAGAAGAAGTGCAAAGGAGATTTTTTAAATCGGCAAGTTTTATTTTGAATAGGCCTTATCCAGCTTAAGGTTTTTCACAGGATTCTTGGATAGACTTGAAATGGACAGTCTTAAGAGGAGAAGAATTGTGTTCTCTGCAATGTTCTTAATTGTCAATCATAATTTTGATTTTGTTATGCTTACATCGCATGTTAATTATGGCATATCTAGATTCTCGCATCAATATTTTGCAATGGTCTCCCTTATGCCAAATCTTTATTAACTTTTAAACGAAGAATTTTTGGACAAAATCGACTTGATATTAACTGTTTATAGCAAAGGAATGTTGTTTTCTGGGACACCACCATTCCAAATTTTAATCATAAGCTTTCAAATTTTGAAACTTACCGCAGCTATACGCAGCAGAAATACTTCAAAACATATATATTTTTTACTTTTATCAATATTTTCTTAGTTGCTTGCTTTTGCATCTGTCACATCAGCTTTTTCAATTTTACGTAAACCCGCATCCGGTGAAGTACGATCCACGTGCAGATGGCGAATGCAAGGTGAGGGAAATCCCTACAATCTTAGTAGGCTGTGCAGTAGGGTACTCGTGCCAACCGTCGGTTTGCACCCTTCGTAACACCCACCGACATGTGCCGGCTATCAACAACCCCATGCCCATCACCCCCAAGTACCTATTTCAAATAAAACAATCGGAATATAATCGTGGGAAAGTGCTATAAAAATATAATTGTAACAAAATAATTATTAATTCTTGACTTCAAGAGAGTTTCTTGAAATACCTTTCATACAGGATGTCGCATTAAGTATGGGACAGAGCAGCAGCGGATAAAGGACGTCACAATAGAATAGTTGAGCAAAGCATCCTGAGCAAAATGTCGCACCTTACAGGGTGTTTTTCTTACTATTGATTGCTCGAGAAACGTTAGACATATTAAATTAATAATTTAGGAAAAGCAAAAGTTTCTACATGATTTTGAACATCTATAATTAATTTGTGACATTACAGAAATTAATTTTGTTATTACTGTTGTTGTTTATTACAGACTACAAATTTATAAAAAAATAAATTTAGTGCCAAATTTGGAATATTTGAGAGAACGTATATTAATTTTTTGAAAATGTAGAGGAGCATCAATGTTAAATCTCGATGAGTACATCTACCAACAATTTGTTGTCATGTGCATATTGTAAAGAAGGATATTAAAAAACACATTTTGTAATTTTCTCGAAAATAGCATCTTTTCTAATGTAATTCACTGTACCTTTCAGAAAATGTTACATTTTTGCGAAAAATTTCAGTGAAATTGAGGTACTGCTCAAAAAAAGACGTCGATACATACCCCTTGATCCCCGCCCCTGAATTATCCCAATTATAATCATCATATTCAAATTTTGCAGACCTATTAGGTAACGCTCTGTACTAAATCCGACTTGATTTGATCATCCCGTTTGGAAGAGATAAACAAAAAACAATATTTTATAACTAAAAAAAACCCAAACTCTTAGAAGAAGCATATCTGGTGTACTTTTTGCTTTTTAACCGTTTAACACTTTATTTAACACCCTGTATATATACGTGTGCTCAATCTTGTGGAATCTAGGCTACGGTTTTTGTAAATCTCCGCTTGGGTCACTCTTTGTTTTCTGCATTTTATGTTGGTCGTAAAAAAGTAGTCATAAAACTTTACTTAAGAATTTGATATTGGAAATACACATTTCCGTAACGAGAGTAAGAACTTCAATGGACAGAGACGTAAAAACCAGGAAAAATAAAAGTTTTATTACGGATGTGACGAAAATGTATGATTCAAGTCTGTAAACTGTAAAAATATTGTGGAATAAATCCAGTAATAAAAGGAATACTATCGAGAAAATGTTTCTTTCTCGTGGAAAGTGATTAATACCTTCTTAAAATATTTACCAGCGGAAACTTTAATAATAACTATTTCCATAAAATATGTTGGTGATGTAACTGTGCCGAAAACTCATCGTTTGTACTTTCTTTAAAACTGAATTCCATGCAAAATAATGCAGGAATCCACAAAAAAGTGTTTTCTGTAAAGATATAAGTAACACTTCATTCATTTAATGGCTGAACTATCTAGGGTTTACTGAATAACAATAACTTCTTGTTTATTTTATTTTATTATTATTATTAGTCCATCAGAAACAATCCCAATTATAGGACATAAAAATAATTCATATGAGTAAAATGTAAAATTAAAATAGTTGAACACACACGATCTAGAATAAGGTAAGTACATTAATACAAATTAGTAAGTTAATACAAATTAGTAAGTGAAAATACATAGGTCCAAGAGAAAGTACTTTTACACATTACATTTATTAATAAGAAAAGAAACATACACAACAACAAAAAAATAAAAACAGTTAAAAAAATAGAATATGAAAGTTATAAGTGCAGATCGTAGGTATCTTTAGCAGTTTTTGTAAATATGACATATTTATTCAATCATAGCAGTGGCGGCTCGTACATTGTGAATAGGTGAGGCTCGTGGCTTTTTTACTATGTGGGCAAGAAAGAAAAAAAAGCGCCGCCGGCAAAAATTTTTAAATTTTCAAGGTCAAAAGCATCTGGAAATTTTTAGTTGCATTTACAATATTTAGATTTTATAAAAAATAATACTCAACTATTTGGATATTTTATTAATCCGCTCTCAAATAATAATAGGAATAAATTTCCACGTCATTTTTTATTATGGAGATCTTCGCCAATAACCCTACTACAACGGTAAATTAAAAAATTATATTATTAATAATAAATAATATCAGAACTTTAAAAATTGTATTTAATTAAGTAAAAGAAAAAAAATCAAAGCGATATATTTAGCTACTAATTAACAAAATTGTTCCTACTTGGTTTATGAATATTAAAAAATATGAAAAAATATAAAAACAAATTTCATAAGGTAACCAGTCAACTTATCATCTATTTACATATAAAACAATGCCGCCAGCTTTTTGTTTGTTTTTGTTTATTTAACAAAATATTTTAAAAACATAGTGAACGTTTTTATAAAACAAGTTTATTCGCCCGACTTTTAAATTAGCAAATTTACTTATAATATCTTCATAAAATTGAGGATCGGCACTAAGACTTTGCAATAGTTCTTTTTCTATCGTCATCACTGATAAGTTGTTTAATTGCTCTTACGTCATCGTATTTCTAGATCTTAATCCGCTCAAGACACAAAAAGTTTCTTTCAACCGAGACACTTGTTGCAGGAATTGTTAAAACTGGGCAAAACAATTCCGAAAATACCATTTTAAATTCCTTGTATAACATTTCTATCGTTTTTTGATTTTCTAAATTACGACATTGTTCATAACTGCACAAAATATTAAGTTCGTTTTTCAACCTATCTATTTCAAAAACGTTTGGATACATTTGTAATAAACATTCAAACAATTGTTCGGGAGAATTATTTGCATATTCGGTAAATTTTGAGTAATCTATTACAGCAAAAAAATTAAATCATGCAAATTCCCAAAACGAGTAGGTACTTAATTAAGGGGAAATAAATTTCGAAAATATTTCTAATTCCTCGCTACTTTTGCTCCTTTTACTTTGTAGTTCAGTAATACTTTTCGCATAATTAAAACTATTTTAATATTTTTCTTAATTAACAATTTCTTTGACTA